AGTAAGACGCCATATTGCCCAGAGAAACGTTTTCGCGGCAACTTAAAAATTGAGTTTTTGATTTGGTTATTTTTACTGAAATACACGACAGAATGATGAATATCCACTTTTTACGGACTCCATAAACATTAGTCAATAACGTGAGATCGTTGCCTAAAACTTGTCAAATACCCTATGGAACGTTTTAGAAGGTTTGCTATGATTTAACAAGATGGCGTTGCCATCAATATGAGGCGCTTATCCAAAATTTTAAAGGTATCGATACTTGCCGAAAAGTACTCATTTAGTAAAAGTATCGAATACAAAGTATCGAGTACAAAAGTATCGGTATCGAAAGGAAAAGTACTCGATACCACAAAGTATCGATACTTTTTTCGTGTCCCTACCTCTCACTTCGCTTCAGATTTTCGACAATGGCAGACGTCGAAGTAATAACAGCGGCCGCGCTGTGTCTTTTTGCAATCCATAATTATGTTCGAAATTTAAATAATTAATAATTTTAATATAAATAAATTAATTAATATTTAATTAATTAATAATTTTTAATTTCACATTTTGTCCACCAAGCGCGTGGCGCGAACTAATGGTAGCCATACACACTACGAGAAATCGTTACGATTAGACTGTACCATCCGAACGGTACCTATAAATCGTAGCGTGTATGTTATAAAACTGCACAGTTTCCTATACGTACGCCACGTACGATAAACTGTTCCGTTCGAACTGTACAGTCTGATCGTAACGATTTCTCGTAGTGTGTATGGGTACCATTAGTCATACACGCTACGAGAAATCGTTACGATCAGACGGTACAATAAACGGCGCCGACGCACACGTGTCAGCGATGGCTTCGACGGACGACGTTTTAGCAGTTGTTGGATTAATATTCGCCCTGAAGGAAAATAAAGTGAAGCAAAAAAATCGTAGCATCTGGTGCAAAGAATGGCTAATGAAAAGAAGAGTTTATTGTCATGTCAATTTGTTGTCGGAATTAAAGATGTTTCCAAAAGATTGGTAAATTTTTTTAAGAATGGATCATGTTACATACTTACATCTACTGAATACGTCTTCCCGAACCGCAACTGACGACAAAACTGAACACGAAAACTGAACGAGCGCAAACACACTACGATTTATCGGTACCGTTCGGACGGTACAGTCTAATCGTAACGATTTCTCGTAGTGTGTATGGCTACCATAAGCGACGCGCAGAGTGTGAACACGCATTGCCACTCGCGCTGCTCGGTCCTTTGACTTCCGCACAAAAAACCGCTCTTTTGGGGAGCGCCGGGCAGCGCGAGTGGCAATGGCAGTGGCATGACGAGTATCGTGTTTACATACTCGTCATGCCCACTTCCCTCCTTACTCGCGCTGCATGTAAACGAGGTATAACTGCAAATTGCAGTAGAATACAAAAATCCAGTCAACACATCGGTAGTTAGAAACATATTTGCGTGACGTGTCGAGTCGATGCGATACGAAATTATGTTTCTAACAATTATAAATGTATGAAACCGAACAGAACAACAGAAGCACATTCTGGGTAATGACATGCAACGACACGTTAATATGTTTCTGCCTTTACTCTGTATTCGACAATAAGTTTTGTATGACAACCAGACTTGTTCCCTGCGAAAAGAAGAGTAAGGGTGCGGCCAGAGTGCACTCAGATTCAGAGTCAGATTCAGATTCTGAAAACAAGCGCGAGAAATAAACAGTGTAGTCTAAGCAGGTTGCCTGCTTTTTCTCGCGCTTTGTTTTCTGAGTCCGAATCTGAATCTGAATCAGGAGTGCAATCTGGCCGTACCCTTCGACTACACTGTTTATTTCTCGCGCTTGTTTTCGAAATCTGAATCTGAATCTGAATCTGAGTGCACTCTGGCCGCACCCTAAGGGTACGGCCAGAGTGCACTCAGATTCAGATTTAGCTTCCGAAAACAAGCGCGAGAAATAAACAGTGTAGTCTAAGCAGGTTGCCTGCTTTTTCTCGCGCTTTCTTTTCTGAGTCTGAATCTGAATCTGAATCCGGAGTGCACTCTGGCCGTACCCTTCGACTACACTGTTTATTTCTCGCGCTTGTTTTCTGAGTCTGAATCTGAATCTGAGTGCACTCTGGCCGTACCCATAGGGTACTCAGATTCAGATTCAGACTCAGAAAACAAGCGTGAGAAATATATAGTGAAGTTTAAGCAGGTTGCCTGCTGCCACTATGGCCACCCTGCTTTAACTACACTGTTTATTTCTCGCGCTTGTTTTCGGAATCTGAATCTGAATCTGAGTGCACGCAGATTCAGATTCAGACTCAGAAAACAGGCTCGTGAGCAGTGTTGCCAGGTCCGATTTTTAAAAATCGGGAGGCGATATAGAAAAAAACAGTAGATGTATGGAAAGACCTACTTACAAGAAAAACAGTAGATGCAGAGGCGTACTTCTTCCGATTTGCACCCCCCCCCCTCCCCCCTAGAATTGGTAAATCAAATGAAGATAAACTTAAGACCAGTAACGGCTGTGTTTCTGTGGCTTCTACCGCCCCATAAAGCTAGTGTTTTTTTAGACAATAGCATTTATTTTAAAATTAATAAAGTTACCTACATTATTTATGGCCGAAAATCTAACTCAACATGCAATTTAAAAAAGAAAATCGTATTTTAAGAAAAACAGGAGATTCATGTACAAAAACAGTAGAACAGGAGAAATTTCAGAAAAACAGGAGATCTCCTGTAAAATCTGGAGACCTGGCAACACTGCTCGTGAGATGTCAGCTTGAGGAAAGCAGGTGATGGCCACAGTTGAGGCAGATAATACAAAACGCGGACTTGAGCACTGTTGCCAGGTTGGGGGAGGTTACTCCAAATTTGGGGGGTTTTTAAAGCGATGGGGGAAGAAATAAAGTTTTGGGGGAAACGGGGGTTTTCTTTGTTACATTTGGATATAAAAATAAAACCACTTCATAAACTTTTAATCTGTAAAATGTCGCAATCGACAGTCATTTAACAGTCTCTCTTTCTCATTCGACGCGTTCGAAGCTGTTGATCTAGAAATTTAAATTGGGGGGTGTTTTCGCAGTTGTAAACATGGAAGAGTTTTCTAATGAAGATCTAGCGTGCTTGTTAATGGCTACTGATAGTTGTTATTATAAATTAAAACGTGAGAGAATCGATCTCACGAAATTAATAGATTAAGGAGTGAATATGGGGAACAACAAATGGTGGTAACCATTTGTTTCCCCAATTAAAAGTCGATAGGAATATCGGTCCAATATTTTAGGATGGAAGTGGAAACGTTCTATTACATTTTAAAAAAAAAATAACCTCACATGATGAAGAATTGGTGTAATTTGCACAAACACAAGATTCTTCCAGAAGAACGCCTTGTTGTAACCATTAGGTAAGAAATTATTACAATCTCACTAATCCGGATGGGACCATTTGATTATAAAGCTGGGTCTGGATTCGCGAGGGTAGTGTAATTTGAATAATTTGTATGGTTCATATTATATATAGGAACAATGCATTAATAATACAAAAATTAATTATTAATGAATAACATTTTTTTATTATACACATATAATGAGTTTTGCATATCTAGGTTAAACTTTAAAATTTTAAAGTCAATAAAGTTCAGTTTTAATTTGAAAAAATAAATAAATAATCAAAATATTCAATTAAAATCGCTACTGAATATAATTTATTAGAACATATGTGATTTGCACTTGTATGAAACTCAAACACGTATTCCGAATATACAAACTAGAAACATGTGGATAAATATTATAAATATGAATACCTATAACTGTTACTTTATTACAAAAAATAAAGATGTGGTTTTTGGTTCTACTACACCAATGGTCAAGAGATGGCGCTGTAGTCTCCTGAATCGCGCTTTGGTTCCGTTGTTCCAGATTAATAAATACTTTTTGTTACTTTATTACAAAAACTAAGAGGTGGTTTTTGGTTCTACTACACCAATGGTCAAGAGATGGCGCTGTAGTCTCCTGAATCGCGCTTTGGTTCCGTTGTTCCAGATTAATAAATACTTTTGATAGGCCTTCACAATGCAGTCGTTAGCACCCACTAAATAGAGATTCTATGTATTTTGTTGGTGGATTTTCTTAATGTGCGGTAAACACAAAAGTAACAGCTAAAGCGACCAACTTCATGCTGTTAATTTTTTGTGTTACAGTGATGCGCCCGCATCTCAAAATTTCACTCTCATCATTTTTTCATAACGCGCCTAAAGAAGTATAACTTCAAAAATTACAGGTTCCCGTGGGATTCTCCAAAAACTTTAGTAACGTGGACGAAGTCCTGGGCGGCCGCTAGTAAATATATTTAAAAAATGGGCAAATCTTTACTTAGGTATTTGATAAATAAAAACTTAAATTTAAAGAAAGTTTAACTAGAAAAAAATAGCTCGCGGACCAGGCAGCGGACGGGACTCGAACCCGCACCCTTCGCAATCCGGGCCAATGCACTGACCAATTATGCTACCACGGCCCTGATGGCAGTGTCGAATTTTTCTTAGCCTTAAGCTGCAAGACAGCGCCATCTCTTCGCATTGTAGGTAACCGACAATGTCAAATGAATACTTTTTCAAGTAATATAAATTTGGAAGAAGAAATAGCAATTATAGTTATTTTTTAATTTTTTTTAAGCATTTAACTGCTAGGTGTTTAAATCTAAAGAAAAGTTTTACTAGAAAAAAGAACCACACGGACCAGGTAGCGGCGGGACTCGAACCCGCACCCTTCGCAATCCGGGCGAATGCACTGACCAGTTATGCTACCACGGCCCTGATGGCCGCGTCGAAATGATGTTCTTTATATTTGAACATCTAGCAGTTAAATGCTTAAAAAAATAAAGAGATAAATAAAATTCTGGCAGAGTTTTTCTGAAAAGCTATCATTCTTCACGGGATTAAAATAATGTTCAATGTGGCGGAAATTTCAAAATAATTTCTGGCAACCCTGGTTACATCTAAAAAAAAAACTACGTCCGTCAAGACGTCCGTCAGCGTCCGTTCATTTCATTCTTCTCTTTTGAACCGAGGAGCTATACCGCCATGCGGGTGCGATGATTGTGCTATGGTTCGGTGTGGTGAAAGAATTGTCTACTTTTATAAAACATCGTGTAAACTTTTTGTAATAAAGTGGTGAAGAAGTTATCTACTGGATGTTACACCTACTACAGTGTATAAGTTTAACAAAACTTGTTTTTTAACATATGCTCCAAAAAATATTGTTACTCACTACCAATGAGCTTTGGTAACTACGGTATTTCAAATTAGTCGACGTTCGTATCTTGCCCAAGAAAAGTGACTATGTCTTACAATTCTTCACTCGATGATTTTTGTGGATCCAAATTTTGGGTAAGTTGTATTGAATTTTACCAAGTACTTTTCAATTAAGACTAGTTAAAAACATAAACTTCCAATTTGTTTTTTTTTACTTTTACAAATTAATTTGAAAACACCTTAAACAAAACAATGAATGATTCCGTTATTTTAATCTGGCGTCATTTATTAGCAGTTCAGCACTGCTTTTTGTGTTCTAACATTAAATATATTTTCAATTTGATGTAATTGTCATATTATCGCAAATAACAGGTGTTTTTTGTACCTATCACAAAATGTTGTTTGACCATGACCTTTAGCATGGAGCAACATTATATTTCTATAAAGGACCAGTTTTTGTTACTTGAGCCATCAATAGTATAGTTATGTATCTGCATGTATCAAATGTAAACATATAAATAAAATAATAATATAAATATTAATTTAATCAGAAAAAAGGTCTAAAAAGTTTTAAAGTGTATTTTCAGAAATTCTTATGTGTGTGGCAGTAATAAAAAATATTTTGTCATATCTTTTAATCAAGTTTTGGATATCTAAGGGATATACATAAAAATATATTTAAATCAACTTTCATCTGTTCATTTTTCAAAAAATATTTTACATACTGTTTTACCAGTGCCCCAAGTCCCTAAGTACATAATTTTTTTTTAAACTGACATGTTTTTTTACTGTCACAAACTATGGTTCAAGTCTTGAGTAGTTTTCACTATATCATCACCATAAAGTAAAAAGACACCAAGTAGGTCAAAACATGCTTTGACTTTGTAGGAATTTGTTATCTCAAAAATAGATAAGTACGTAATTTAACAATATTACATATAATTGATTACAAATAAACTGAAAAAAAAAACAAACTTAGTTATTTTCCACTCTCAGTACCAAAATGTTTAGTTATGGAGACGTTAGTGACTATTTAGTAACTATTTATTTGCATCTGGGTCATTGTTAAGAAGAATAACCAGTCATTCTAAATTTAACCAAGTTATTTCAGTTAATTTTGTCATGGATTAAGTATGTTCCAGTTATGATTTATTTTGTAAAGGGAAACTAAAATATGTTGTATTCCAAAAATAGACAGTGTTTTAATGCACTATCTTAAATTAAAACTATTAGTCTTATAGACATCACTGTATGGTTGAAATATGTAGAAAAATTTGGTTTATTTGATGACATTTCAAACTAAACTTTGCCCAAATGTCCATTTAGTGCTTTTTTAACTATAAGGCTATGCAAATATCTGTTCACCATATGAAGCTGAAACAGCTCAGCAGCAGCAGCAGCGGGACCGCGGTTTCTGGCAACTGGTTTTTCCTATTTAATTAAAAATAAAAGACAGTAATCAAGTTTTTATTTTAACAAGCGTACCTAATAAATTTTCTAGTATCAGCAAGCTTAAATTGTCTTTTTACCTTAGCCTCTTAAAAATAGCATTATTAAACTTTGTGAAAACAACTTGATTACTTACATTTTCTTTAAAATAAATAAGAAAAAAAAACAAAGCAGTCCCATAAATATGTTTTGCGACAGTCCTGCTGCTGGATCTGTCTGCTACAATACCCGCTTAGTTCAGGCTTAACTAAGTCTATGTTGTGATAAGGTGGACGATGTTTTATTTTTAATGCATATGTCTTTCATTTTAGGATAGCAATCTAACATGGTACACAGACAATCCAGAATTGACACCATGTGTTCAAAAAACAGTACTTGTTTGGATACCATGCATATATCTTTGGGTGGCAGCTTTTCTTGATCTCTACTACATACTACATAGCAAAGAGAAAAATATACCTTGGAATATATTGAATATAACTAAATTAGTTGTCAACTGCCTTTTAATAGTTGTAAAGTTTGTGGATTTAGGTGTCACAGTGCATAATTCTTCACAGAAAGACAAAGTTGTTGCAAATGCTGATTATTATAGTCCTATTATAAAAATATTAACCTTTGTAAGTATTCATTAATTAATTTTCATAATTTTTTTCAAAAAAAAAAGCTGTTTTAATCATTGGCATAGCTAGGGACTTTTTCTAGGAGGGCAGCCGTCCAGTTAAACTTACATTTATTCTAAACTTAACTTTTAAATTAAACTGGATTTCTAGTTTGTATTCATATCTTTTCACACAAAATAGAGCAGTACCTTTAGCACAAACCAATGTCGAATCTCAATAGTTGAATTCAATCTCCTGATTGACTTCTCTACTATCTATTTTGGTGCTGTATGCGACTTAAGTTACACTCAATGCCTTGACGCTGTCTGTTTTTCTGTAATTTCAAATCGTTCATCTGAATGCTGTCAGCATAACTAAATACTGAAATCCTTACACATTATCGCAATGAAATATAGTCATATTAATAGAAGAAACTGGACAAGTGTGAGTCGAACTCGCTCATCGAGAGGCCCGTACGTAGGTACGCAACATATGTTGCGTACTTACGTATTTTTTTAGAGATTCAAGGGGCCATACGCTTGAGTACATGGTTTAAATTTTAACTAGATACATCCACGCGCATACTATTGGACGACGAAAAGCGAGCGCTCGACGGGCGATAATACTATCTTGAAACTTTACACTCGCTTCTCCCTGCTCGCCAACTCTTAAGTAGTAGCGAGCGAGTAGAGCTGTCTAATATAGCTCTTCTCGTTGAGCGTCGGCGGTGGATTCAAACCGGGGATGAAAAGTCATTACACGCCGCCAGAGACGCTGTTACCGTCCGTCGTCGTTGAGTGTGCAAATATGCGGAAGTTTTATATAGTCGAATATTCGTTAATTTTTAGACCGAAATACCACTTTAATTTTGTGTAATAATTGCTCCGTGGTCGTAAGACTTGCCATCATGGAGCCTGTAAACTGTGTGAAGGATCCGTACCGTCAGAAAGGATAATTAGTCATTCTAAAAACCAACCAACTGCACAGAGGTAGAATCGGCGGCTACGTTTCTCGTCTCCAATATAAGGGGTGCAATACAGGATAACACTAAAGAAATTATAATACCCAAAAGAAAAATGATATAAGTATTATAAATCCTGGATTACTTAATGTTGCGTTGCGTAAGGAACAGGGATAGTCTCCATAAAAAATTAAGAAAAATCCAGAAAATGAAACACTACGAATTACTTATAAGTGATATCGGAACTATTGCAATTTGATACTAAAGAAAGCAAAGCGAAATTACGAAAGACAAGAGCTCAATAATGCTAAGAACAATAAGAAAAAACTATAGGAAGCTATAATAAATATAAGTGGTTCTAAAACGACCACAAAATCAATAAGACTAGAATCAGTGCATGCTGCACTGCTTCTAGTCTTATTGATGCAAAAAACACCAGTTCAAGCATCAATGAGGTTAACCAATTTTTTGTTAGCGTCGGCAGCAAACTTGCTGCTTAAATTGCTGGGAGCAGGTAGTAGCAGTGGCGTACGCGTTGGTGATCTATCTATCTCACACGTTGTTTTGGCTTCGTACTGTGCCCACTTGTGTTAATATGTTGGATAATTGACGACTGGGATTTTGTTTTGAAGACATCTGTTTGTTGATAAATTAAACAGCTGGTTTTGTTTTAGTTCCTGAATCAGGCTACACATTTTAACGTTTCGAACAACAGGCAACAGCTAGTGCCATATATACGCTGACACAAAATATGTGCGCATCGCAAAGTACCAGTGGCGTGGGGTAAAAAGAAGAAAGGTAAAGCCGGACCAAAAAAAACGACTAACGCGTGAATAAGTAAAATGTCATATCTTAAAATGTCATATCTTAACTTATAAAAATACATGCAATAAATTACATACCTTATAATAGTGTGTTAGTACACCTTTCCCAAAACGAAATGTTAGGTAGGGTGCTTGCGTTGCGTTGTATGCAGTTTTCTCATGCGACAGAACATGCTTTAGTAGGAGAGCTGGCACGAATTTTTGGGTAGGTATTTGAGGCAAGCTGAAAACTTGTCCTATACCTCTCCTATTATACCCCAACAGGGAACTGCAGACCTGGCTGGTGAGTAGCGGGGCTAAATTAACCCCTAAATTTTTGAAAATATTTTTTTTTTATTTTGAAAAATATATTTGAGGCAATATGCAATTTTTATATGTTGTAGTTTAATGTATAAAGAATAAAAAAAAAAATAAGCCAGACGATTTGGTCGGGATTTTATAATTGCCAGACGCGTGCAAAAATATTTTGCAAAAAAATGTAAAAAATATATTTGAGGCAACTTGAAATTTTAATAGAACATTATTTATAACTAAAAAATAAGATCCTCAAAAAGACAGGTCATTTCTGTGGGACTTTCTACCTGCCAGGTGATCCAACAAGTTATGTATAGGTACGAGTGCGTAGCGCTATAGACAAGCTGTAGAGTGAGAGAGAGAGTTTATCGGCAGCTGTCTGCGTTCTTGCTTGCCGCGTTATTATTGGCTCTGGCGAGGTCACGTGACTTACAATAGCCATGAGGTTTTCAGTCGGAATTTCGGAGTCGTTATTCTCAGTCGTAGAATTTTAATATTGGTGTTACACGTTTTATAAGGTAAATAATTTTAAAATGTCTGGTAAAAAATTAGTTTGTGTTATTTGCAAAAAAAGTGATGATAAAGTGATTGCGTTTGTAGAGAAAACTCTCAAAAAAAGTCATGAAATATTAGAAATCCGTAAACATCATGGATTAAAATATAACAACGTGGTTTTGCCAGTGATTCCTAACCTTACAGACGGTTATCATACAAGTTGTTATAAAAACTTTTTAGCGTTGATGAAAAAATATTACGACAATGTTGTGATAGGATCTAATATTTCTACTCCTATAAAAGGTATTGTATTAATTTAATTATTTTTCAAGTAATATATGCTCACAAATAAAATGAAGCATTCACAATATTGAGTTTACCAATTTTCTTACTATTAATATTAAATTGATTGTGATTAATTTAAAAAATCAATATATATTACTTTTCGCAGATGATGCAGAGGTAGCCGAATCTGATGCAGATGAATCGGAAGAAGATTCTGATAGCTCTGATGAAGGAGCATCCTCAGATGAAGAATAAAAATTTATTTGTGACGTGGGATGCATTAAATTTATATTTTTGTACTCATAATTCTGCAGTTGTATAATTATTATATCTCAATAAATCTGATTTTGTGATTTTGTATTTTTGAAATCGTTACTTTTTTTATTTAATACGTTAGCCATTATTAATTTCAACATGAAAAAAATATTCAATTTCTGTATAAATTTTAAATTTGAATACTGTCCCAAAAAAAAAGTAATTTTTTTAATTTTAGATATCGTGGCGAAAATATGAATCCTATTAAAAAATTATTGAAACAAAAGTTTTTGGAAAATTAATTTTCTAAAGAAAATGTTTTTTATGATTTGTTGAAAAAACCATTACATTTAGATTTATATTTAAATTGACTAGATAACAAATTTTATATGATAAAAAAATATAACAAAATAAATATATCCATTTAACACGCACAAATCAACACAATCATTTTTATATGAACCGTTTTTAGTAGAAATTCACAAATTTTTTTATTTTTTACTCCGAAATTTTGAATTGGAACCTCGTGGCTATTGTAAGTCACGTGACCTCGCCAGAGCCAATAATAACGCGGCAAGCAAGAACGCAGACAGCTGCCGATAAACTCTCTCTCTCACTCTACAGCTTGTCTATAGCGCTACGCACTCGTACCTATACATAACTTGTTGGATCACCTGGCAGGTAGAAAGTCCCACAGAAATGACCTGTCTTTTTGAGGATCTTATTTTTTAGTTATAAATAATGTTCTATTAAAATTTCAAGTTGCCTCAAATATATTTTTTACATTTTTTTGCAAAATATTTTTGCACGCGTCTGGCAATTATAAAATCCCGACCAAATCGTCTGGCTTATTTTTTTTTTTATTCTTTATACATTAAACTACAACATATAAAAATTGCATATTGCCTCAAATATATTTTTCAAAATAAAAAAAAAATATTTTCAAAAATTTAGGGGTTAATTTAGCCCCGCTACTCACCAGCCAGGTCTGCAGTTCCCTGTTGGGGTATAATAGGAGAGGTATAGGACAAGTTTTCAGCTTGCCTCAAATACCTACCCAAAAATTCGTGCCAGCTCTCGGACTACTTGCTGTACAGTTGTTAGTGTTCACCATACATGACATCACTGGTATTATATGTACAGTGGATGTCGAGTATGATAAAAGTGGCGTTAAAAAGCCGTATAGAGCACACGTCACTCACACACAGATTATAAATAAATATATAGAAAAACAAAAAACCAAAATATGTAAAACTTATGGGTTACCTATAATGCGAAGAGATGGCGCTGCCTTGCAGCTTAAGAATGGCTAGGAGAATTTCGACGCGGTCCGTGAGGGCCGCGGTAGCATAATTGGTCAGTGCATTCGCCCGGATTGCGAAGGGTGTGGGTTCGAGTCCCGTCTGCTGCCTGGTCCGCGTGGAATTTTTTCTATAGTCTGTTTCAGAGGCAGGCGGAAAAACGTACAATGACCTTATAGGGGCAAACAACCTTTTTTTCTTTTATTGATAAATTGTATAATTTAAAATAATATAAATATTATATTATTTTTAATTTTTAGCATTAATCTGCTAATTTTAGATGAGGTGCTCGTTAGCGTAGTGGTTAGCGCAGCCGCCCGGATTGCGCAAGGCGCGTGTTTGATTCCCACCTGTTTTTATTTTTTCTAGTAAGTATATATTTCCTTGAGAAAAAAAATGAAATAAAAATTATATTTTCTGTTTTAAAAAAGAAGTGTAGTTATGTTATTTTAATTCTTTTTAAGCAATTAAAATAAGTTTTTTTTTATAAGTTTTTTTTTTAATTTTTAATCGCAACTGGTGGTAGGTTGTTTGCCGGTGGAAGCTGGTTTGTCGATAAACATAAGCAAGACCAAGTTCATGGTAGTCTCAAGAAACCCGCAT